GAAATGAGACCATCAAGAACTTTTTCTCGGATAAAATGACAATCAATGTCAATATGTTTTGTCCTTTCATGAAATACAGGATTATTCGCTATATATATAGCAGTTAAATTATCACATTTAAGAGGGATAGGTGTGATATCTGGAATCTCAGACTCAACAAGCAATCTATTAAACCATGTTAATTCAGAACAAATTCGTCGCATTGATTTGTATTCTGCCTCAGCAGATGACAAAGAGATAATAGATTCCTTCTTTGATTTTCATGAAATAGGAGTTCCTCCCAAAGTGATAAAGAATCCACTAACAGATTTCCTTGTATTGGGACAAGTTGCCCAGTTCCTGTCACAAAAAGCTTCAAGCTTGAAATTATTGGAATTGTTGAATAGTAAGCATTGAGATATAATTCCATGTAGATACTTTAATACATGTATTGCAGCATCCATGTGAGCTTGTGTAGGTTGACTATTGAATTGACTCAAAAATTGAGTAGTTAGTGTGAACAAGAAAATTTAGTTTGCCAATTAATTTCATGTATGGAGTAGGATCTTGTAAAAAATATGAAGAAAAATGAAGATCTTTTAGTTTAGTGGGAAGAGGAGATTTCACATTAGAAGCTTCTTGACCACCATACCGCTCTAATAGTTCCTTGATAAATTTATGCTGATGAATAATCATTCCATCAGGAACTGAATTGAACTCAAGGACTAAAAAATAATTGATTTGGCCGAGATCTTTGATTTGAAATGTTGTGTGAAGAAAATTTTTGAGGTCTAAAATTTCAGATTGATTGTTGCATCACCAAGACATCATCAACATAAACAACAACAATAATAAAGGAATCTCTAGCCTTCTTTTTGAATAATGAGTAATCATTTGTTGATCTTTTAAATCCTTTTTGAATAAGACCAGATAACAATTTATCATACCACTATCTAGAAGCTTGTTTGAGACCATATAAGGACTTCTTCAACCTACATACATGATTTTTTGATGATGTTTGCATACCAGGAGGTAATCTCATAAACACTTCCTCATGAAGATCATCTTGTAAGAAAGCATTGTTAACATCAAATTGGTGAATGGGCCACTTTTTCTTGACGGCTAAAGCAACTAAACACCTTACTTTATTGAACTTAACCACTAGAGAAAATGTTTCATGGTAATTTATTCCTTCTTGTTGAGTAAAACCCTTTGCAACAAGGCGAGCCTTATACATTTCCACAGATCCATCAGCTTTATATTTAACCTTGTACACCCACTTACAAGCTATAGGTTTCTTTCCTTTTGGTAAAGGAACAATTTCCCAAGTTGATTGGCTTCTAAAACTTCAAATTCTTTCTTCATTGCTTCTTACCACAATGGATCATCTTTAGCTTGGGAATAAAAGGAAGTTTTAATGATTTTGGCATTGTTATTGAAGGCAAATGAGAAGACATGATTAGATGAATGAAAGTGTTTGATATCAGGTGAATCAATACAGAAATTTGTAATTGTGTGAGAATAAGAGTCAGGGGCATTTTGGTTATTTGTAACATTATAACAAATGTAATCTTGTAAATGAACAGGAGGATGATGGACTCGTGAAGTTCTTCTTGGTTGAATTGGATCAACATCATTAAGAGCATGAATGTCTTCTGATTGATGTGATTGAGTAGGGGTAATATTGTTATTTTGTTGAGATGCTTGAATCTGTTCTGAAACACTACTAGGACTATCAGGGATATCATTGTCTGAAACAAGAATAGGAAAACATCTTGGCTGATTGTTAAAACTTGACATTTGATGGAGAGGAAAAACATATTCAATAAACTTCACATCTCTTGAAACCGAAATAGCTTTTGTCCGTAAATCAAGGACTTTATACCCTTTTTTTTCCAAAAGGATATCCAATAAAGACACAAGATTTTGATCTTGGCATGAATTTATCGCTATTATTTGAATGAGTACCCACATAACACAAACATCCAAATGTTTTTAAATTGGTATAATTGGGCTTTTGATTAAAAAGAACTTCATAAGGACTTGAATTGTTGATCACTTTAAGAGGTGTTCTATTGATAATGTATGCAGCAGTTAGAACACAATCACCCCAATATGATTTGCCAAGTCCAGATTGAAAAAATAAGGCTCTTGAAATCTCTAATAAGTGCTTGTGTTTTCTTTCAACCATCCCATTTTGTTGTGGTTTATAAGGACATGATTTTTGATGAAAAAGGCCAACAGATTGAAAATATAATGCTCCTTTTTTACTTGATCCCAATTCAAAGGCATTATCAGTCCTTATTGTTTTGACTTCAGTTTTGAAATGAACCTTGTGACATATGTGACAAAGCTTTGATAATACTGAAAGAACCACTTTTATTTTTGAATAAATGTACCCAAGTACATCTGGAATGGTCATCTACAATGGTTAAAAAAAAAATTATGACCATTATAGGTAGGAACTTTATAGGGCCCCCAAATATCAATATGAGCAAGATCAAATATGTGATTAGAAACAGTTTCACTATTTGAAAAAGACAGAACATTTTCTTTCTTGAGAACAGATTTCACAAGAATTTAAAGAGGAACTACATTCATTTGAAACAAGAGACAAAAGTTTCAACTTATTGAATGGCAAATGTCCTAATCTATTGTGCCAAAGATTTAGAACATTGCTTTTATTAGATGAAAGACAAGAATGAAATTGAGATGTTGATGGTTGTTTGAGAAGCTTGTATTCACAAATATAAAGATCATTAACTCTTTTTCCAATGATCAAGCTATTCTTCGACAAAGGGGCCTGCATGGCACAAAATTCATCAGTGAAAAGAATCCAAGCTTTCAACTGAGATGTGACCTTAGTGAATGATATGAGATTATTGTTGAACTGAGGAACACATAGAACATCATTAAGAATAATATTCTCATGAATAGGAGCTTTCCCAGATTGGGTGACAGGAATGGATTGACCATTAGGTAAACTGAGAAAGTGAGAATGGCTGAATGTATGAATTGAAGAAAATAGATTTTGATCTGATCCGTAGCCCCTGAGTCAATGATCCAAGAAGATTGTTGTTTATTGTTATTAACAACATTGAAAACATATGAAACAAGCTTTCTCTTTGAATCAAGAAATTTACCTGAACTGCCCATAGCACCATTAGTTATCACAAAATTGATAGATTTATTGAAATTGTTGCTGAGATTACTCATTAGCTACATCAATTGTTGATACTGTTCATTAGAAATTGTAGAGTTTTCAATGGAAGTTTTATCTAAACAACCAAATCCTCTACCAGGGGTAGAACTGTCAATAACATTTTGAACAGTAGAATCTTGTCTCTTGGATTTGGTAAATTTAAAACCAGATGGAAAGCCATTGATTCAGTAACATGTTGCTTTGACATGACCAGATTTCTTGCAATGAGTACATTGCAAATTCTTTGTATTGAAAGAAGTGTTTGAATTTGAAGTTTGATGATTAACATTCATTGCCATTTAATCAACAATTATGTTAGGAATTGAATTGATATCACGTTGTCTCTCTTCATGAATTAACAAAGAATGTACCATAGCAATGCTAGGGAGAGGATTCATCATCAAGATCTGGCCACGAATTGACTTGTAAGATTCATTTAATCCCATAAGTAATTGAATAAGTCTTTGTTCTTCAACATACTTCTTGATCTTGGCTGTAGAACCACATATGCAAAGTGGAACCTCTTGAATCATGTTCAACTTATCCCAGATCTTCTTCATTTTTGTAAAATATGATGAAAAATCTTCAGATCCTTGAGTAGTTGAGAAAAGCTTCTTCTAAATTTGATAGATCAGCGCACCATTTGCTTGTTCATAACGCTGATTGATTTCATTCCAGATATCACAAGCAGTTTGCAAGAACAAAATACTTTCAGTAATGTCTTTTAAGAGAGAATTCACTATCCAACTGATAACTATAGACTTGACTCGATTCCAGAATTCAAATTGATTTGAATTTTCAGCTGGTTTTTCAATAGTTCCATTGATGAAACCGAGCTTGTTTTTGGCAGATAACGCGAGTGTCATGGATGTTTTCCACGATGCAAAACCAGTTCCATCAAAAACTTTTGAAACCAAAACAGTGCTCGGGTTATCAGATGAAGCTAAAAACAGAGGATTAGAAGCTTCAATGGTGGATGAAGAAGATGGTTGAGAAATCGGAGAAATTTGATCACTTTCATTGCCAGACATGATTGAAACAAACGGAAATAGAAACAATTTGAAGAATAGTCATAGATTGATGAAGGGATCAAATAGAATGCGGAAAAATCAAGATCAGGAGTTAGTGCTCTGATACTATGTTGAACGAGAGAATTTGTGAAAGAATTCTGTTTTCATTAATTGATTACAATGAAAACGTTTTTCCAATATATACACCATAGATCTAACCAACTTAACTACCAGCTAACAAATCTTAACATATTTACAGAATAGTCCCTCAACTATCATAAAGTTATACAAAGTAACAAAAATATGTTCAATAATTCCAACATAACATATACTACAACAGTTTTATGAGGATTCTTCCTTGATTAGAAGCTCGATGATGCAACTAGAGCTTTCAAGAAAATTATGAGCAATGGGGTTGTACCTAATGCATTTAGTTATGGTATTTTGATTTAGAGGATGTGTAAAGGAAAGAGATTAGATGATGCTCTTGAATTTTGTTTATAGACGGTGGAGTATGGTCATTCTCCAAATCTGTCTACATTTATAGGTAAAATGGGTTGCAATTTGCTCAAGTAATGATCAATAATTTAAAAAATGAAGTTTTTATATTTTATTTTTTATTTTATTAATGATGAGAAAGTTGTTAGACAATTTTTGGACAAAAAAGGGACGTTCTTGCCTTCGTTTTGGCATGCAATGTTACTATGAAGAGCTCATGATTATTTTGCACTCTTTAGGAAAAATTCACAATTTTTGTAAGTTGTACTTTTTCAAATCCTTGATCTTAAAACCCTTACTTATAGTTGCCACTCGCCAGTAATATATGTATTAATCTAAGAACTGGATTGTAATACATTGTTACAACTACTAACCATTAAGATAAAAAGACTACCACTAACATATATATATATATATATATATATATATATATATATATATATATATATATATATATATATATATATATATATATATATATATATATATATATATATAATCCTTTCAAAAGCTGCAAATCCTAGATTTTACCAATGTCATCTGGGGGACTGATAGTAATCCAAAGCAAAGAGACAGTAATAGACAACACCCCTGCCCAAACATAAAGTATAGTCGTCACTTTTCCTCTTCTACCCATCAGCCCTTTCATAAACGGATACATATGAGCCAACACCCAAAAGCTAAAAAAAGCTCCACCAAAAAGCTTATTCCATTGAGGAATCACACTAAAAAGCGTCCTCGCAGTCCCCATAATAAGTGCTACAATGTTGGTAATGCAAATGGTGAGTGGCATTACAAACAGACTTGACCACTTCACAACGTATAAATCAGCGTATATATCGTCATCATCTTCAGCCGCTGATTTAGAAGTCAGAGTGAATGAAATTTCGATTCCAGCTATAACTTTTAGCAGCCCTTGAATCACAGCACCCAGATGAGCACTTGAGCCACCAATGGCCCAAAACTGCTCATTTCGCCACCATTCCTCTAAGGCTATTCCAGACCACTTTACTTCAAGAAGAGAGATGAGAGCAAGTGTCATAGTCATGATGAGGAGATACGTTAGAAATGTGGCATCAATGTTTGGCACGATGAATTGCCCTGTGAGCATGCAAAGTGCTGGGAGGAATAAGTACGCAACCAAGAATATAGATGTGAAAGGGTACATGCCAACGTTAATATACGCTATTCTTTGTAGGAACTTGAGACGTGAGCTCGCTAAAAACGCATTGTTTTTCGAGAAAAATATCTCAACCGAACCCGTGGCCCAACGGAGCACTTGATGCAACCGGTCAGTCATGTTGATAGGTGCTGTCCCACGAAACGCGTCTCGCTTTGTTATACAGTAGACAGATCGCCACCCACGATTGTGCATTCTATAACCTGTAACCACATCCTCTGTTACAGACCCGTAGATCCACCCTATCCGATCTCCCCATTCGGTATTCTCTTCATACCTATTGAAAAATCATAAACCGTTAGATATCTAGAGTCTTTGATTTTCTATTCAAAAGAGCCCTAATTAAGGAGAGAAGGGAGCATTTACCAGCAAGAAATAACAGTTATAGCCTCAGCTACAGTAAGCGCATCCAATGGAGGGCGCGGAGCAAGTAGTGCACCTGCAGGACGACCATTTTTAACAGACACATGATCGGCAAGTGGCCGCCCTTGATACTCCGCGACTGCTATAGAGTCAACGAACATGTTTGAATTTCCAAATTTTTTAGGGAGGCTTAAATCAGGATGCTCTTCTTTTGAGGTATGAAGATCATGGTCTTGATCACGCACAGCCTGTAATGAGCGGCCTGGAGAGAGTGTAGCCGCAGGTTTCTTTTTCTGGCCCACAATTCCACGGTATTCGATTGCTCGAGGTGGACTAAACCCATAGAGTGCATACCGTCGAAACATGCAACCAGTTCCTACGTATACCGGACCTTGTAAACCATCCAGAGCTCTCATATTCCCTAATCATGTGAAAAACACATATAAGCTATAATGTAAATATTTATGGGCCAAAGGATTTCTTTATAATAAACTAAAAAGGAGAAAAAGATCGCACCATCGAAAAACACTGTGTTGTGGTTTGCGTATCTATCGGAAGGATCGATCCCTTCAAACCTTTGAGGAAACTGTATGTAGCAAACGCGGTCACCCCCACGATCCAACATGAAGCACATACCTTCCCTTATAGCCATGGTGTTATATATATAATGATCACAATCCAAGTTAAGAATGAAAGGTCCATTAGAGAGTATAGCCGATGACCTAACCAATGCGTTCATGGCTCCAGCCTTCTTCTGATGGTCATAACCAGGACGTTTTTCACGTGAGACATACACAAACATTGGAAGCCTAATGTCGACACCCGTAAAGTCAAGTTTTCCTTCATTGTCCTTCCCCATCACCGGATCGTTTTCTGGCACCCTGCTCATCAACTATGTAGACAGATTCAAATTCAAGATTTTATTTCAAAGAGTTTGTTGATTTTGTCACCAAAAAATGTCAAAATTTATACTCCCAACATATATAATTAAAGCAATGAACGACATCTAGCAAATGTGGGACTTTATAATCAATTCCTCACATGTGCTAGACAATATATTTGAAGTCCAAAATGAGTTTACCTGAATAATTCCTGCATGGTCACCTTTTTTGTGATCTGTTGTTGGGGTGAACCACGTACCTGGCCAATGGGTACCATCTGCCATCCAAGTTGCTTTAGCAGCCTCTCCTAATCCTGAACTATCATTCTTCTTCTCCTTCATTTCTCTGTGATTGTACCTTTCACAACGCTTCCGTATGACATCAGGAAGACCATTTATTCTCACTTTGAACTCGTCATATTCTCGCTTCATCCAACGATGATCCTTCACAAAATCAGCCCGTTTTTTATTTTTTGTGTGATCTATTTTCTGTGTGAAATAACTTTCGGGGTTCCTAGGTTCGATGTTGTGTTTTCGACAAAACGGTACCCATAGCTGCATATTTAGACAAATTTTTGTTAGTTGTTGTCTTGAGGACGACATATCGACAATGCCTCATAGTTGCAAATGATGTGGCATTTAATTCAATTGGGTTGATCACATTATAAAAAATAGCCAATTGTATTAAACGGTTCACTCTGTATAAAATAAATAAAACAAAATATCTTGATTTTACGTTATATTTGAAAATTTTAATCGTATATATGTTTACCCGCTTTAATTTCACATACATGACCGAAATCGACTGCCTCAGCCATAGCTTCAAACGTTAGAATGGCACCACCATCGTCCGAGATATAAACAGAAACCTTCTCGATAGGCCACTCAACCGCGAGAATAGACAAAATAGTATTCGCAGTAACCAAAGGCGGTTCCTTATCAGGGTCCGCAGTCGAGATAAACACATCTATTCCCGGTAAATCCGACCGGCCACTAGGGTTCTCCGCAGACTTGCTCTCAAACTTATCCTTCAAAGCCACCAAATCCGTAGCTCGGTTTATCGGATTTAACTTGGGTAACTGATCCAACAACCACGAAAACGCAAACCAAATCTCACATGAAATCGAAATCCCCCACAACCACATCGCATCAAAATTAGGGTTTTGTAATCTCCATGATAGAAACAAGAATTGGACTACCAATCTAATGGCAACAAGGAACCGATATGGGCTAAGAACACTTGGGGGGACTTGAGTTTTGCGGGTGAGAGGTTTCCATGGTTTGTCCAAGAATTTAGCCAATTTGGTTCCAGTTTCATGGTCGTTTTTATCGTTATACGCGTTTCCGATTCCGTACGTTCCTCTGCTCTCGAACAACCAATGCTGCTGATCGGAATCCGTCGGCGGGTTTTTTAAGGACAGAGACTTGTTTCCTGTTGGCCCTTTTTGAAGTGAGAGATCACCGGATACCAATGGATTGGTGGCCATTGTTTATGCAAATGCATATCCCGTTTTTGAATAAGAATCTATGATGAATTGAATCTTGGAATATGCAAGCATGATGAATTGACGTTTTCAGAACATTTGGAGAAAAATGTTGAAAAAGAGAGAAGTCAAGATGATGACGCTTACAGCCATTGCTTGCATCCTTTTTTTCAGCCCCACCTTTCGTTCTCTCCCTTTGCCCCATGGTAGGAAATGACTTTTAATATATAAATTCACACCCATGTTACGACATCCAAAGTCGAAACTTACTTGCACATATTTTTTTTTTTCTTTTGATTTTTTTATCCAATGATATCAACTAACAACAACGGATCTCCATTCTGTCAAGATCATATACACAATGGTAAGAAAGTAAATACACTTTTGTCTACAACAACAACACTTGAACCACTCAACCACTTGATGATCAACATATTTCTTAATTCCTACACAACTTGATAGACCAAAGACTTTTGGTGCTGAAATATGACTTTACATTCTTTTTGTTATCAAAGGCTAACAAAAACTGTTATTATGCACATAGAGACCAATTTTGTAAGGATGCCTTTGAAGCAAGGAGGATATAAAATGTCGCATACATTACAAAGCGAACGATCTAATCCCGTCTTCCTCATTTTACTGCAACCAAAAAAAAAAAAAAAAAAACCTTTAAAATGTGTCAAATAACTTAGAAAATTAGTGTTCGTCGTCTCTTTCAAATTAAGATTCTACATGATACAATCTTGCAACTTGCAAGCCTATAATGAATAAGGTAATCTTCTATAATTATTTAATTTAAATGTTGAAAAAACATTGATTATAAATACATTTCAAACAATTTCCTACATTCTTTTATTTAAACATGACTTGACAGATCAATCAGAAAAACTACCACCGTCCCCTAGTACATGTGTCAAAACGTACGTTTAGACGCTATTTTCAAAAATTAACTCGGACCCTTCCTCAGTGTGTGTTTTTTTTTTGCACGTTTAGTCCAACCACACATAAAAATACCATTTTGTCTTTATTTATTATTTTCTATTTATTTGTTATTTATTAATTATTTACTGATTTGTTTATTATAAAAAATAATTATTATTTCATTTTAAAAAGAAATGGACCACTACATTTGATAACCCATCTCCCCCTCCCCTTCTTCTTGATAACATCTCAAATCCACCATGACCACCCACACTGACTCCAGTACTCCGACAATTCCAAGACATTTTTGGTTTCAAAGAGAGGAGATCGACTCTAAGACATCTCTTTCTCTCTCACACACACACACACATGTCTACCGTCTACCTCACCTCTAACCATAATCGAGCCTATCCCATCCCTTTCCTCCTGTAAGTCCATAATCTGTTTGTGTATCAACCAGATCCGTTTAATGGTGTGGAATCCCAATCAAACGGATGATGTTAGATCAAATAGAAGAGAAGGAGAAGAAGATGATGATGAATCTTATATTATTTGATGATTAGAATGTAGATTCAAATACAAGATTCACACACAACACACACTCTTTTCTCTAGACCATGCACTCTCTTCTATTCATCAATCTCTACTCTTCACTCCTAACACACACACACACACACACACACACACATATATATATATATATATATATATATATATATATATATACACACACACACACACACAAGGGGAACATGGGCCGGAGAACATGGGCCGTAAATGGGTTTACGGCCGTAAACACTTATATGGCCGTAAACACTAAGCTGTTTATGGTCTAACACACAAAAATACAATTTCCCCATAAAAGTAAAGTATAAACCATATTTTTGACCCAACAATCTCCCCTTTGGTTTATAACTTTCTTTTATAAATGACCCAACACGCTCCCCCTAAAAAGTAGTTGGCTTTTCTTGTCAATCTTCATCGAGAGCTTGGCTTCAACATTTATCTTCAATGAACGACTTCATCTTGAGCAATTAGGCAATTCTTCAAGATTTGGAATTGAACGCACATTGGGTGAGGATGCTTGATGTACTGATTCTTGAAGGATGACGCTTTCAGCTTGAGAATCTTCAGAGAGAAATAATTTTCTGGATCACTTCAGCAGGTTCATAGATAGCAGCAGATTGATTGAGGAGGCTTCAATGCAATCCGTCACACAATCTTTAATTTCAGCTTCACCTTGTTTCTGGGGTTGAAAGATTGAATGTTGAAAGAATAATCTTCACTTCTTGCTCCTTCGAATGAGAATTCTTCGACTATCACGGATGAAGTTTTGGCTCATAATTTTTCGACACAAACTCCATGAGTTTCATCTACACCTGAAATCACTTTTCAAGACAAAACAAAACAAAAAAACTTAGCACACAAATTAAAACAGAAAAAAAAATATTTTTGGATTTTTTTTTTGTTTTCTGAACAAGAAATAAAACAGAAATAAAAATATTTTTGGATTTTTGATTTTTCTAATTTTTGTTTGATTTTTTTTAATTCTCCCCTAAATTTGTGCATAGAGGAAAATTATGAACAAATTTAACAAAAACAAAAATATTAGGGATCAAAGTTGTTGGACAACCCTATTCCACTTGCCAGTACCGTTATTTTCATGTCTTCGTCTGATCAATCGCCAGTATTGTGGTCCACTTAAGCACGAAATATTTGTGACAGAATTTTGACAATTTACGAATGACATGACATTTTTAGCCCTTATTCTTAAATAAATTTCCTTGGGACCATTTAACTAACTACAACCAAGGATATTGTTGTCCACCTAAATTAAACAGCGAGATCTACAGATAATCTATATGTGTTCATTTTTAATTGTACTAGAACGTGTTTCCCGCTTCCTGATATGCCCTAGCCATCAAGGACGTCCAAAATACTCCTTACACCGGGTGAGCAAACAATTATTAAGAGAGAAGATAGATTTAGAATGCATATGATGTACATCCAGGTCGAATCTCTTCCAATCAAGCAAAGGATGAAATATATGACTAACTAAAGTTTTAGAGGGATTGATAAGAAAATGTTGCATATATTGTGTACAAGGTCGGATTATCAGTCACGCAAAGGAGACAGTATGTGGCTAACAGATAGAAAGAAGTGCATAGAGAGAAGATGCAGAGAGACAGAATTGCATATGTTACAGTCCATGTCGAATCTCTTGATCACGCAGAGGAGGCAACATATGACTAACTGACAAAAAGCAAGAAAATAACCTTCTACAGACCTAGTTTATCGGAATTCCCCAGTCACCCCATCAAAACCGGAATTAAGGACAGAATACGTACATCGAGGAAAAGTTAATCCACTGTTCTAGATACGGGTTATTTTAATGTGACCGGTAGATTCTCATGTATATCTCCCTGCTCAACCTATCCGAGCGTGGTATTGGCAGGCTAAACGAGTCTAACTAGTTTAATATTTGTCAAGTCCTTAAATTCCTTAAGTTCAAATCTTCCTAGTCAAGTCCATTTAGAATCTTTCGTGCCTACCGACGCATCGAGCACAGAGTGTAGACAATTCAATTTTGGTACGTTACGTAGATTCAGATTGCTCGTTATCACTTTGATAATATCACTTCCCAAACAAGACCTACTAATGAAAAACTATTAAGAAAATGAAAAATTGTCTTTAAAACGAATCACAGTAAGATAAATTCAGGAGTATAGAGAAGAAAACGCAAACCGTGATTCACCGATTGAATCTGCATACAGAAGGTCTGAAAACAGCACGTATAATCTCATAACAGATCCGAAAATTCTTCATATCGTTAAGCACAAACCCATGTGATCCCTTCCTTTCTTTCCTTCCCGCAAAGGACACATACTCTCAAACAAAAGTCTGAATGTTGTACAGTTGAGAGATGTCCCCTATCATGTGCCTGGAACAGCCACTACCAACAAACCGAAGTCTGATGATATGCCTCCATAGCTTCTCCGACACAGAGCATGATTAGTTGGTCTCTGGAACCTAGTCCATTTTGAAACTGGGTCGACCTTTGTCATCAATGCAGGGTACTCTCTCCCATGACATGTCCTGCTTATCACAAACAAAAGATGTAGAAATATTAGAATCATTAATTAATTTGGGAGATTGAGCCTTCGGAACCCATTTGAAGTTGGGTTTAACCCATTTCTTTTTTGATCTGATGGGTGGCTCAGTGCTTGCTTTTGATCTTGATGTCGGCCGTTGAGATGACTTTGACTTAATCGGTCTTTGTTTCACTGGATCATCTCTTGGAATAGGCTTGTTGGCTGACATTTCCTTCTTTCCCTTGGGATTCATATTCTTGGCCTTATGGGTTTGATTCATAGCCTTTTGCGCATTCCAATCACCATTTTCTAAATGTGACCTTGAGGGGTTTCTTTTATAGTATCTCCCTCTTGGCGCGTTCTGCCAGCCTTGTACGTAGTAGGGAACATATGCGCGATTAGGACAATTTCTGGTAATGTGTCCAGGTGTTCCACAGTGAAAACAAGTCTTTTTCTTCATTGTGAAGTTATCTCTTCTTGCCCCTGGTGGCGTATCCATGCCTTGCTCTTATTGATCTCACATGTACACTTGCAACAAGCACTCTTTTGCGCTGGAATTGGAGGTGTGTATTTCTCAACGATAGGTTTGATAGGAGTAACAGAATTCGAAGCAACAGATTCTGAGTTCAAGGAGATGTTGGTTTGTTCAATGGGTTTCTCCTTGTTATCATCTTCTGCTACTTTACCTGCACACGAAGTAGAAACATTAGAATCTTTAACCTGAATACCTCCTGACACAAATCCAGATGGTTTTCCATATTGAAGATGTGCCTCCCTGTCAAGTTCTTCCTGTGTCATAGGGATGGATGTGTAGTTATGATTGAAAGGTGGAGGAACACTATCATACCCTATGTTTTGATTATTTTTAAATTTTACTTGGGTTTCAAATAAGGACTCGACTGTCTGACTTGACGCAGTATAATTTTTGAAACTAACATATGTTTTTCCACACTTAATTTTCAAAGTGTCAAGTTCTTCAGTTGCAGCAGCAAGTTGTCTCTTTATATACTAATAATTTTCACACTTGTTGCTATACTCTTCATGAAGCTTCCTAAAGTCTTTGGTTTTCGCTTCTAATTCAGCCTTCAGGGGTTTCTATCCTTTCCTGAGTTGATATCCTTTGTATTTTAGGTCATCGACTTCCCTTTTTAGCAAATCATTATGTTCACAAAG